CTTTTATGCTTAAGTAAAATTATTCAGCAAGGTTAAAATTACTTGTATCTTAATTTTAATGAAAGTAGATTATAATATTAGTGGAGGCATATCGTATTAATTGATTAATTTATAATAAAGTTATTTTTTTTATAATATAATAAATAGTCTATGATTTTTATTGTTATGCTTTTAATTTGAATAAATAAATAATACTGCTAAAAAAACTATAAAGTAAATCATATAAGCAAATTACTTATTTATGAATAATCAAAATTTGGACAAATGACGGACAAATATATGGCAAAAACCGGACGAATTCCTTATTTATGAATGTCCGGAATATTGCAATATTCCGGATGTTTATAGATCCTGGTTTTGTCCGGAAAATATAGGCGGACGATTTTTGAACAAAAACTGGACATTTTTTTTTTATAGGGTTTATTGCCGCTTCCTTTTCAGTTATTTTCCCGTTTCCATCCAGATTTGTTAAAATTCCTGCCAGTAAAAGACTTCTTACCATTGAAGATTGGAACATAGCTGAAATTTATGTTTAATAATAGAAATTTGAAGTGTTGTAATAATTCTAATGCATTTAACATTTCGAAAGTTAAATTTTTTAATGAAAACTTTGGTTTAAAACAGTAAAGGATATTTTTTAAGAAAAAATCATGTATAAATTAACTGAATTGAAAAAGTTCTATTAACATTATTAACATGATGTGACTGAAATAATCGAAATATGGTATTTCATATATTTAGTTTTTCAAAATAAATGTTCATTTTATATCATTAACGTTGATGTGTCCGTTATCTAGGATGAAGCTTTATAATACTGGTTGCATTTTGACTGCTGGACTCATTAAAAACTTATTTTGAGACCAAGATATTTTAGATTATGTAAAAAATTATTTTCAATTAATAAATAGCTTTTTTAATGGATGATTTATCTGTTTATTATTATGGATACATCACATAAATTTCCATATTATGAGAATATTAATGTTTGATAACCAGAAGAATTTCATAGTTTTGTTTAATAGATGTCATTGAATAATTAAAGTCTTAAATTATTACGTCAATATCATTAAAAATATTTTATTCAAAAAAAAATAAATTTTTAATAGAAAAAGAATAAAAATCTATTTTTTGTTTGAAGATTCTATGCTTTTAGGTTCAAATTCTTAAATTCTTCTCCGATTAATAGGAAGTTGAAGATAATAACAATTCCGAATTTGCAAGTGGAAACCATCCACTTTGACTAGTGAATATCTTGTCTTAAAAATATAATTTATTAAAAAAATAGAGAATATTTTTGCAGGCTATAAAATAAAAGTCAATAAAATAAATTAAATACAATCAGTTATTAAAATGAGTATAAAAATTTTATTAATTTTATACATTGAAAATGGTTTTATATACTTACATCATTATTTTGATAATTCATATCTAATAATTGTAAAAGTTATTAAAAATAAGATTTATTTAAATTACAAACTAAAAAAAAATTGTAAAATATTTAATACTCTAGTCTAAGTGTTTAAATAAGTCTAAGTAAAATAAAAAATATATATATAAATATTTAATACTTGGATAAGCTATGAAAAAAAGGGATTATTTAAACTAAGAAATTTGTAAATATTTTATTACTCTAACCTTAGTGTTTAAATAAATCTAAAAAGAATAAAAAATAATTTCTGTTGAATGTAAGATATCAAATATCACTTAAAAAATTATAAATCTTTTTTGAAACACAAATAATTAGTTAATCTACATTTGTTTTAATATCTAAATAATTTAAATACAGTAATTAAAATTAATTACATAAATTTCAAAATTATTATTTGTTTTTTTTTTTTGTATACATACCTAATGACTTCATATCTTAAATTATACATTCATTCAAATTTTCACTTTCAAGAATATCATTCAATTCTTTACTACTAAAATCAAGTAAGCGACTTGTATAGCATGCTTGTGGATGAGATTCAATAACAATATTGTTATTCTGCTCAATTGGTGCATTTATAAATTCCATAATATTGCATTTTAGTTCTTTATTAATATCTTTAATATTTTTAATTTTCTTTCCTTTAGGATAATATATCCATTTTTCAATAATATCTAACACTTCATTAGCAGATGGCCTTTTTGATGGATCCTCATCCCAACATTTTTTCATTAAATCTACATAACATTGTGGAGTATTTTTAATAATTCCAGGGCGTTCACCTTTACAAATACTTATACTAAGGTGAAGATCATGTTGTATATTATTAAATGGTGGTATCCCAGACGTAAATTCCCACATAATCATAGAAAAACTATATATATCACTAGCTAGAGTATAAGAATTACCTCTTAAAACTTCAGGTGCCATAAATGGTATAACACCATAAATATCATATTTTTTCAAAAATGATTTTATAGGTCGACATAATCCTAAATCACTAATGTAAAAGTTATTCTCATTATGATTTAAAATATTGCCATCATGAAAATCACAATGAATAAGATTTTCTCTATGTATATTATTAAGTCCAGAAATAATTTCATATAACATATATAATTTTTGATTCCAATTATTTTTGATTATTCTTGTTAAGTTTACTCTTAAATTACCATTGTTTGCATAATACATTACTACCATATATTTCAAAGTATCTGGATTTTTTGTAAACCCATAAAAATAAATAATATTACTTGAACTTAAACAGTTTCTATGATATTCCCACTATAAAAAAAATAATATTATATTAGTATAAATATATAAGTTATAATTTAAATTAAAAAAAAATAAATAATATATTATCATCATACTTCATTTAAAAATTCATTTGAATTTTCACTTAATTTTTTGTGACATTTAAGAATTACTTCAATATATGTATAATTATCAAATAACCAGGTAGCTTTATATATAATACCAAATCCTCCTTTATCAAGATATTCAATATTTTTAAGTTTATCATAAGGAATCCATTTTAATCCATTTTCAAAAATAAAATTATCCATAATTGCATTTCCACTTTTTCCAAATCTATAAATTTAAATAATTAAAATTATATTGAAGTTTATATTAAAGTTACAAGATTAAAATCAACACTTACTCTAAAAATTAAATAGAAATTTAGTATGATATTTGTTTTTAGTATTTGTACAAATATATATAATAATAAGTAATAACCATATATTATACAACTTACCAACTAAAATAACAGAAATTTTAAATGAAAGAATTCAATTAACAGTAAAATATATAACAATAGAAATAACAAATAACTTACAGGCTATATTATTAAATAATAAAGAATTTAAATATTATATTAAAAATAATAATAGAATTAAATAAATAACTTCAGTCATAACTTACCAACTAAATAAAATTACAAATTTTAAATAAAGTAATTAGTTAGTTTAAATTATATGCAAATATTATGTAAATAAGTAATAATAGAATTAAATAAATAACTTATAACTTACAATCTATATAAATAAAAAATTTAGTTAGTTTAAATTATATGCAATTATTATACAAATAAGTAATAATAGAATTAAATAAAAACTTATAACTTACCAACTAAATAAAATTTTTAATTTAGTCAGTTTAAATTATATGTAAATATTATACAAATGAGTAATAATAGAATTAAATAAATGACTTATAACTTACAATCTATTTAAATAAAGAATTTAGTTAAATGCAAATATTATATAAATAAATAATAATAGAATTAAATAAATAACTTACTTCCTATATTATTAATTAATTTTTTAAATAAAGAATTTAGTAAGTTTAAATTATATGTAAATATTATAACAATAAGTAATATAGAATTAAATAAATAA